GAATTTTTTTTAAAAAATTTTGGAATTTTTTTTGATTTTTTTGATTTTTAATTTTTCTGAATTATTTGATGATTTAGTCTCTAATCACCTCTCTTAACTGCTCAAGTGTGGATCACTCATTTCAAATCATCTAACTTCCTGACCGGTCACCCATCCCTCTCACTACTCCAGCCCGAGCACGCTTAACTTTCGGGTTCTATTCTCCTTCGTTTCCAAGCCTCCACATGTTGTTTTCCTCACAATAGTAAGATGTTAATCCTATTAACCCACAGGAGTTTAGCTTGAGCATGAAGTCACACATTTCACCGTTTGAGTTTGAAACTATTATTCTAAAAAAACAGTAATTATTTAGTAACGCTGATATTTCTTGAATAAGTTTGACCATAGTTTGACCATAGTTTGACCAGATTTGACCAAAATTCAAAAAATTGAAATAATTATTTAGTAACACTAATATTCTTGAATAATTATGTAGTAACATTAATACTTCTTGAATAAGTACTTTGACCAGATTTAACCAATTTTTTAAAAAAAACTGAAATTTGACCATATCTTTTTTTCCTTTTGGAATTTGAGGATTCTAAAAAATTCCAAACAGGCCGTAGGCGGTCTCCATCGGATGCGGATTTTCATGCTGAATTTTTTGATATATTATACGTTTTTTCCGACATCGTATGCAAAAGTTATAGCCATTTTACATTTTCCCTACACTTTCTGCAAAACATGTCCAAATTTAGGTTTTCAAATTTTCCTCACAAGTAGATGTAGTAATATAACTACCTCTCGAAGGATTTTATTTTTTGAATTTTTTATCATTTTCTTTTGATTTTTTCAAAACTGAAATGGCGATACAAGGGGGGGGGTAGAGTTTGAAAATTGCCCTATAGTGCCGGTTTGTGTCTTCAACCGGGACTATAGGTTAAGACTCTGTAGTGCCGGTTGGTGACGCAAACCGGTACTATAGGTTAGACCTTTAGTACCGGTTTGTGTCACAAACCGTCACTAAAGGGACTCGTGGGGCCCTGGCCTGACGCCAGCCTGCCACCACCCCTTTAGTACCGGTTCGTGGCACGAACCGGTACTAAAGGTTCATTACGAACCGGCACTAATGCATAGCCATTCGAACCGACACTATTGATCACATTAGTGCCGGGTTTTTTACAAACCGGCACTAATGTGCTTCACGTTTGACCATTTTTCTACTAGTGGCCCCTTGACAGTTTGCTTTGAATAAAACTCCTCCAGCAAGGCCCAACCTTGGTTTTACCATTTGCCTCACCACCACCTATACTTTTCCCTTGGGAGTCGTGCTCCCAAGGGTCATCTTTATTTTTACCCCCCGGGCCAGTGCTTCTCTAAGTGTTGGTCCGAACCGAGCCGTCTGCGGGGCCACCTGGGGGAAACTCGAGGTCTGGTTTTACTCGTAGCTTGTCTTATCCGCTGTTGCCCTGAGAACGAGGTACGTGCGACTCCTATCGGGATTGTCGGCACATCGGGTGGCTTTGCTGGTCTTGTTTTACCATTGTCGAAATGTCTTGTAACCGGGATTCCGAGACTGATCGGGTCTTCCCGGAAGAAGGAATATCCTTCGTTGACCGTGAGAGTTTGTGATGGGCTAAGTTGGGACACCCCTGCAGGGTATAAACTTTCGAGAGCCGTGCCCGTGGTTATGTGGCAGATGGGAATTTGTTAATGTCCGGTTGTAGAGAACTTGACACTTAACGTAATTAAAATGCATCAACCGCGTGTGTAGCCGTGATGGTCTCTTTTCGGCGGAGTCCGGGAAGTGAACACGGTTCTTTTGTTATGCTTGAACGTAAGTAGTTTCAGGATCACTTCTTGATCACTTTTAGCTTCACGACCATTGCGTTGCTTCTCTTCTCGCTCTTATTTGTGTATGTTAGCCACCATATATGCTTAGTGCTTGCTGCAGCTCCACCTCACTACCTTCTCCTACCCATAAGCTTAAATAGTCCTGATCTCCCGGGTGTGAGATTGCTGAGTCCTTGTGACTCACAGATACTTCCAAACAGTTGCAGGTGCCGATGATACCAGTGCAGGTGACGCAACCCAGCTCAAGTGGGAGCCCGTTGAAGATCTTGATCGTTGTTTTGTTTCGTTTCCTGTTGATCAGTAGTGGAGTCTAGTTGGGACGATCGGGGATCTAGCATTTGGGGTTGTCTTCTTTTATTTTGGTTCCATAATCGGACCTTGATTGTATTCTAGATGATGTATGTTTAACTTGTATTTATGTGAAGTGGCGATTGTAAGCCAACTCTTTACCCCTTTCTTATTCAGTACATGGGATTGTGTGAAGATTACCCCTCTTGCGACAAACCTACCATGCGGCTATGCCTCTAAGTTGTACCCCGACACGTGGGAGATATAGCGGCATTGTGGGTGTTACAACGGCACTGTGACACTATAACGAGTCGCGGGATTATGCCGAGTAGGAAGAATGTCATTATAGTACTTTGTGCTGAAGTTTGCCCCTTTCTCGTTGAGGTGTGCCTCGCATATGGATTTTTCGATACAGCATTTTTTTCTTGCTTTTGGCGTCAAAGATTCTTCTGTTCTCTCTCAGTTGAATACATCCAAGTAGCCATCGTCTTTGGCGGGTGTGGAGGTTTTCTAAGTGTTTTCTTTTTGGTTCATGGACGAGTATATGACCTTTGCCAAGTGTGTTTTAGGGATACTCAGCATACACTGGCTTTCACTGAGTATTTTCTTGTTTTCTAAACATTTTTTTAAGACTCAGTATACATTCCTCTTTATCGAGTATCCGTGTTTTGACACTCGGAATATGTGATGTTGTGACATGTGATGCTGGTTGTGACAATACCTATATTTTGTACAAGTTGATGCAGATTCGGGAGTGTTCTTTTAACACTATAAACATTGGCTGCTCGGGAAGCCATGCCAAAGCATCTTACAAACATATCACATGTCTAAGTTATGTACTAGATTCCATGTCAGGTGCTGTTGCCAACCATGGACTTAGTGATGTTAGTATCTCAATGTTATTTTGATCCTTTCAAATTCCCTATGTCTCTCATTTTTATTATCACATATGTTTTTATTGTGATCCTCTTCCTCTATAGAGAAATTGATAAACAATGGATATGTGTTCAAACTTCAAGGCATGTAACGTGACACAATATTTTTATTACTTTTTGCATGGAATAAATATCTGGATATTTTACCTCCTAAAACATATATTATGATGATCTTGCTTTCTAATTTTTGAAGCCAATGATTTTGGGAATCGATTACCATACATTCCTTATGGCATAACTCCATGATTTGCGCCAATTGGCGGAACGGGTCACCTTGTATTACTAAAGATAGGATCACCAATCGTATTTGGCGACCACCACTCTCTTTCTCCCCTGTCTCTTCCACTTGAGCGAAATCGTAAATTAATTCAATTGGATGCATAAATGATGGGTATATTCACTCTAGTACATACTGCTGCTTTAAATAGAGAGCACGATCTTCTACAACACAGGCTGCTCTTGAGAAGCTAAATAGAGGGCAGGATCTACATGACACAGGCTGCTCTTGAGAAGCTAATCCACATCTGCTCGGAAAATCATTGTGTGGCGTATCGTGTGTAATAGGCATTGCCTTGCTTTTGTATGCATCCATGAATCAATGCATTTTCTATAGCAGGGCCTGACGAGACATCCACGGTGACAAAACATGTTGGTTAATTTTTTCAAACCGATGAGGTCCCCACCTATTTTTTACGACCCGGTGAGGTCTCCGCTTATTTTTTTTTATGACCCAGTGAGGTCTCCGCTTATTGCTTGGCTGCAATTGTTACCTGGATTAAATAAGCCCATAATTCACCACCTAAAACGTCTATTACATCATCTATCTTTCTTATTTTTGACGTCAATGATCTTGGGAATAGATTACCATACATTTCTTCTGGCGTAACTCCGCCGTGAGGTCTCCGCTTATTTTGTACAACCTCACCGGCTTACTGATTGGCTTCAATTCTTACCTGGAATAAATATGTCGATAATTCACCGCCTAAAATGTATGTTGTGATGATCGCCACTTTCTTGTTTTGGAAGTCGATATTCTTGGGAATAGATTACCATACATTTCTTCTGGAGTAACTCCGCCATTTTCGTCAATTGGCACAACAAGTCATCTAGTATCACTAAAGCTAGGATCGCCCCATCATGTTTAGCGACCCCAACTCTGTTTCTCCAGTTTCTCTTCCACTTGAGAGAAATCGTTAACTAATTCAATTGGATGCATACATGATAGGTATATTCAATCTCGTACGTATTGCTGCTTCAAATAGAGGGCACGATTTGCTGCTACACAGGCTGCCTCTTGAGAAGCTAATCCACATCTCCTCGGAATGTCGTTGTGTGTGGCGTATCGTGTGTAATATGCATTGCTTTGCTTTTGTATGCATCCATGAATCGATGCTTTTACTAGTGCAGGGCCTGACGCGGCGTTCACGGCGACATAGCATGTTGGTTACTTTTTTCAAATTAATGAGGTATGCGCTTATTTTTTATGACCCGGTGCGGTCTTGGCTTATTTTTTACAAACCGGTGAGGTCTACGTTTACTGATTGGCTTCAAGTTTTCAACCGGGCAAGTGGATATTCTTTTTTTTTTCCATACCTACCGCCCGCCAGACCAAATTAGCCAACAACAGGTTGGTTACTTTTTTCAAACCGATGAGGCGTCCGCTTATTTTTTTTGTTCGAATTGATGAGGTCTCCGCTTCCTGAGTGGCTTGAATTTTTGGACCAGGCACATGTATGGGAATTTGCCCAGTACGTAAAAGTGGATATTCTTGTTTACCTATTGAAAGGAGAATAATAATGACTCTAAGATTAGGTGTTCAGAGAAGCAACCCATCGAGCTAGGTTGTGCACTAGTATAAATACACAACTCACGCTGACACAGCAAATCTCATCCATCATTACACACACGCACATCTTTCCTCCATTTCCTAAGGCATCATTAGCGATGGAGTACTCGCCAAAGCTAGCGGCGGCACTGCTCTTAGCTCTCGCGTCCGCCATGATCGTCACCGCCCAGAACGGGGCCGATGACATGCTGAACGCCCACAATGAAGTGCGCGCCGCCGTCGGTGTGGGGCCAGTGACGTGGGACCCCATAGTGGCGGCGTACGCGCAGTCGTACGCGGAGAAGCGCCGCGCCGACTGCCAGCTACTACTCTCTCCGGAGGTGCGCCCATACGGAGAGAACCTTTTTCGGGCCGCTGGGGCCGAATGGAATGCGGTGGACGCAGTGATTTATTGGGCGTCCGGGAAGCAGTACTACGACCACGCCACCAACACCTGCTCCGCACCTACGGGTGAGTCGTGCATGGGATACCTACAGTTGGTGTGGAGGGACACCAAGACCATCGGCTGCGGCGCTGTCCTCTGTGACGGCAACGCTGGCGTGTTTGTCATCTGCAGCTACAGCCCGCCCCCCGTGCTCGGGCAGATTCCATACTAGGCTACGTACCAAGTATATATGCATGCGGCTATGCATGCATGCACGTAGCACCATGTTGCTTAAATAAGTAAGGGATACTCCTAGGGCTGGGCACTAATTCTCGGTCGATTGATGTCACCGATATGTGTGTGTGTGTGTGTGTGTGTGGCCAGAATCCCTCCTCCCTTCACTCCTGTATCGTTCCGGGCTTTGATTGTTATTGTATTTGTCCCGCAAGTTGTGATTGACTTGTATTTGTTTGTATTTGAACTTGTTGTTCCCATTGTATCTTGGCTTTGCTGTGGTTAGCTCTCTAGTTTAGTAGGAACCAGATAAAAGCCAACACAATATCACGTTTATCTTAAGTTGTGTTGCTAGAGAGCAAAACTTACATTTTTCTTATACTTTAGATAATCTGATTTCAGCAATGTATTTTAAAAATGAAATAAGAAAATTTCTTCTAGGGAACAAAGAAAAGTTTTTAGTGGCAGCTTATCGAAGGTTATTTAGCAACAATGCATGAAACTTTTTCACATGACATGCGCTGATTTATGGGCATTAATTTGGATAGCAGAGCAAATAATAATATACTACTTTATTAATAGAGCACAGCTCTTATGACAAGGTCTACTTAATCAAGATGCAAGTTAAAGATCCAAGATTCCAAAATGAGACGGTTACACTATTACAGGTTCTGCTTGGGACAAGAAAATAATTCCATCCCTGAATACTACAACAACTCAAACACCAGAATGACCACGGCCGCACTAGCTGTCCTTGTCGTCCTCCACGCTGACCTATATCATCTTCTCCTTCCTACACAATAATTACCGGAACTTGCTGATATCAGAAGAATATATTTTATTTTCACGATAACAACTCACAAACCACATACATTATATCTGCATTCTTGCCAGTAATGGCAATGTCTTCTATCACCGGAACATTTGTGTCTGTGCATGTTAGCAACTGTGAATACACAACCGACAGCAAGTGCACTGATGAGCCAAATCATGCCTACCATACAATGGATACCTGGCCAGGCATTAGGTAACTATACCATATATTCCAAAAAAACAAGAAGCTAATATGGCCTTACTATGCCTTGCACATGTCAGGCTACAGAGGAAAAAAAATTAAGTGCATCCCCAAGGCTAGCCATTAGGCATTCAAACAATTTAATATGAATACATTTAATATCATAAGCTGATTAGCAATGGACTCTCAGGAAGTATAGATGAATTTATGTATTGAATCTTCATGTCTACCCATGATTTGAAATATTACAATTAGTTTCAGCGAACCACATAAAAATTCAAGCTGATTAGATAATATGAGGTTCAATTTGAACAATTAAATTTGGAATCCTCGGTGAATTTAGTATATAGATGGCTCTCAAGGGAGAGATAGCCATGCTACGATTGACAACTGGAACTTGTCATCATGATTAAATTATGTTTCATCCATTTTTAGTTTATACAGTTAGCAAAGAGGAACTGGCAAGCAGTGCTACTATTGGCACTCAAAAAGTCAACTAAAAACTATTAGCAGGAAGGTCATCTTACCAAGCCTCATGAGCTCATTTGGATCGGCAAGAGAGTGACCCCTGAACTGATAGGTTCCATATCCCTCAAAATTATGGCCAAGAACCATGTCCGTATGCAATGCCTCATCCCGTGTCACCTCCTGCATACAGTAAGACTCATAGAATGAATAACACATAGAAGTGTGTTGCATAAATAAACAACTAAAGCATACTCCTAGGGCTCGGCTGACCGAGAACTCATTTCATTCTGGGCCGACTAATGTCACCAACATGTGTGTGCGTGTGTGTGTTAGAGAGAGAGAGAGAGAGAGAGAGAGAGTCAGATCCCTCCTCAATTTCACTCTTGTATCGTTCCGAGCTTTGATTGTTTTTCTATTTGTGATGTGTCTTGTGACGACACTTGTTGGGGATATAAGCCCGTGATATGACCCGCCATAATTGGGCCGATTTATGTTGTTGGCGACTTGCGGAGCAGGACATAAGATGGGCTGAAGATGTTCAAGACCTTAAGGCCTACAGGGCGGCTTAAGGAGTGGGCAGACTCATGGGCCAGTACCAGTAGGCGCCCGCTCATCATCTAGAAGTACAAGTTGCCATATAAAGTTTCTTTACTTAGGAAGCAAGACAGCTAGGAAGCATACTATATCACGGATCACAATGCAACCCGGACTCTATTGTAAGCCCAGGGTCTCAACCTATATATAAAGAGGAGCCCCCGACGCGAAAATATTAAGCTACAAGCTCTCGAGTACTAGGTTAGCCAAGTCGCACCTTTGTAAACGATATCATCATCATCATCAATATCAATCAAGCGGGAGTATGCTTTTACCTCCACCGCGAGGGGCCGAACCTAGGTAAACCCTTGTCTCTCGATTTCGATCAACCCCGTTCAAGCAATCACCTGGCAGCGATGGCCTCACGACTAAGTCCTTTCACTAGGACATCTGCCGTGACAAAACCACGGCAACACTTGTATTTGATCATGTTATTGTCATTGCATCTTGGCTTTGTTGTGGTTGTATTTCTTGATTAGTTGGCTCGGGAAAAAAGGAATGAAAAGGTACACAAATATAGTAGTTCAAAGAGTCCAAAAGTCCTATTGGAGCCCTAGCTCACTGGAGCTCTTTATTTAAAAAACCCACATCGTTCCTAGTAAGCTGATACGTCTCCAACGTATCTATAATTTTTGATTGCTCCATGCTATGTTATCTACTGTTTTGGGCAATATTGGGCTTTGTTATCCACTTTTATATTATTTTTGGGACTAACCTATTAACCGGAGGCCCAGCCCAGAATTGCTGTTTTTTTGCCTATTTCAGTGTTTCGAAGAAAAGGAATATCAAACGGAGTCGAAACGGAACGAAATCAACTGGAGAAGTTATTTTTGGAAGGAAAGCTACCGGATGGACTTGGACCCCACGTCAGGAGCCAAGGAAGGTGCTCACGAGGGTGGGGGCGCCCTCCCTCCCCCCCCCCCACGGCGTGCCCCCTGCCTCGTGGGGCCCCCGAAGCTCCACTGACGTACTTCCTGCACCCATATATACTCACGTACCCTAAAACTTTCAGAACAGATATTAGATCGGGAGTTCCGCCGCCAGAAGCCTCCATAGCCACCAAAAACCAATCTAGACCCGTTCCGGCACCCTGCTGGAGGGGGCAATCTCTCTCCGGTGGCCATCTTCATCATCCTGGTGCTCTCCATGATGAGGATGGAGTAGTTCTCCCTCGGGGCTGAGGGTATGTACCAGTAGCTATGTGTTTGATCTCTCTCTCGTGTTCTTGGTTTGGCACGATCTTGATGTATCGCGAGCTTTACTATTATAGTTGGATCTTATGTTTCTCCTCCCCCTCTACTCTCTTGTAATGGATTGTGTTTCCCCTTTGAAGTTATCTTATCGGATTGAGTCTTTAAAGATTTGAGAACACTTGATGTATGTCTTGTCGTGCGTATCTGTGGTGACAATGGGATACCACGTGATTCACTTGATGTATGTTTTGGTGATCAACTTGCGGGTTCCGCCCATGAACCTAAGCATAGGGGTTGGCACACGTTTTCGTTGTGATTCTCCGGTAGAACTTTGGGGCACTCTTTGAGGTCCTTTGTGTTGGTTGAATAGATGAATCTAAGATTGCATGACGCATATCGTATAATCATACCCACGGATAATTGAGGTGACATTGGAGTATCTAGGTGACATTAGGGTTTTGGTTGATTTGTGTCTTAAGGTGTTATTCTAGTACGAACTCTAGGGCTGTTTGTGACACTTATAGGAATAGCCCAACGGATTGATTGGAAAGAATAACTTTGAGGTGGTTTTGTATCCTACCATAATCTCTTCGTTTGTTCTCCGCTATTAGTGACTTTGGAGTGACTCTTTGTTGCATGTTGAGGGATAGTTATGTGATCCAATTATGTTAGTATTGTTGAGGGAACTTACACTAGTGAAAGTATGAACCCTAGGCCTTATTTCCTATCATTGCAATACCGTTTACGCTCACTTTTATCATTAGTTACCTTGCTGTTTTTATAATTTCAGATTACAAATACCTTTATATATTATCCATATACCACTTGTATCACCATCTCTTCGCTGAACTAGTGCATCTATACAATTTACCATTGTATTGGGTGTGTTGGGGACACAAGAGACTCTTTGTTATTTGGTTGCAGGGTTGCTTGAGAGAGACCATCTTCATCCTACGCCTCCCACGGATTGATAAACCTTAGGTCATCCACTTGAGAGAAATTTGCTACTGTCCTACAAACCTCTGCACTTGGAGGCCCAACAACGTCTACAAGAAGAAGGTTGTGTAGTAGACATCATAAGCCACAATGCCCGACAAAAGGCAGCCGCCCCACAATAATATGTGCATCAAATTTTTATCAATGCCCCACAAAAAATGGCCGAACATGTTACGTACTCAATGTGGGGGTATAGATTTGAAACTACTTTAACTATGGCCTAGACCGCAGAGCGAATTTATACTAAAAAGTAAGTGTTCAATCGACTTGTAAGGCAGAAGACACATGTCTTGCTACCTTGCCAATTACGTCATGCCAGATTATCTCTAGTCAAGATGAGCCCTCTGTTAAAAATGCGAGGAAAATCTTCACTCTTAGAGGAATTTTGAGCTTCCATAATTTCTTGTTATCAACCAAAACATCACAACGAACCATCTCCAATTTTATACCTTCTTTAGTTTTACTCAAGTGCTTTCATCCCTAGAGTAACTTCCAGTTTGTTTCCTGTTCAGCTCTATTCTACTTGCAAGATTATTTATTCTTAGTTCCTATTTCTTATTCTAAGAAGGATAAATTCGTAAAACTATATTTGGAGTCATCTGGTTTATCTCTTTTGCCTCTCTTTTCCCATGCATTTTTTTTTCATATTTTACAATTGCTATAGTTGAATCCATAAATATTTATTTATAAAAATCATGTATAAATAAGGCTAGGTACATAACCTTGACGAGT